AAACCCTAAACCCTAATACCCTAGAGCCCCAAGCACTGATGCGAGGCCTGGCCATTCTTGGCCACGGCGCGCAAGGCAAAAGCCTTGTCCTACGCGGAGCAAAGATCTGGAACTCAGGGGCTTCCTTGAAGTTCTTTTAAGGCTTATACGGTTTAGGGTCTAGGGTTTAGGGTTTAGGGTTTATAGGGTTTATAGGGTTTTAGGGGTTTAGGGTCTAGATTTTATAGGGCTTATAGGGTTTATACGGTTTAGGGTCTAGAGTTTATAGGGTTTATAGGGGTTTAGGGTTTAGGGTTTATAGGGCTTAAAGGGTTTATAGGGTTTAGGGTGTAGGGTGTGCATGGGGATGGGAGCCTCAATATTTAGAGTCTGAGTCTGACTTTGGGGGGGAGGGGGGGGGGGGTATTTTGAGCTACTATAGCTTCTGATGTATAGACTATTCGATGATTCTCGTGGTGGGGAGGAGAGGGGTGGTCATGAGGAGACTCAAGATGATGAAGGTGCAGGTCATGACGGTGGGAATGACGGTTTTAAGGTTTATAGGGTTTAGGGTTTAGGGTATAGGGTTTCGGTTTAGGGTTTAGGGTTTCGGGTTTAGAGTTTAGGTCACCGCCACCACCGCTGCAAACAGTACCACAACCGCAATCACCCGCATGATGATCATCACAGTCCCGACTACGTATTGTTCTCTTCGTCTCCAGTCGCTCATGTTGACCATGCCAGGGGTTATCACAGCGATGAGCAAAAGACCAGCTAAGCCTAAACCCTAAACCCTGAACCCTAAACCTTACACCCCTATACCCTAAACCCTAAACCCTAAACCTCTAAACCCCTAAACCCTCAGCCCTAAACCCTAAGAGAACCAAGCACTCAGAACTGTCATCGCAGTGAGCCCGCTCTGCGGGGGTCCTCGCGCCACCTCTTGCCAGCCCACTGCAGGGCCTCGTCTCATGTTCTTGGAGTGTAGGGTTTAGGGTTTAGGGTTTAGGGTGGTTGGCAGAAGGTGGAAACACAACTAAAAGTCTCAAAGCCCGAGTTCAAAACAAGCTGGAAGCACCAGGCAACAAGCTACAATCACTAGGCTCAATCACACTGGTGCCTTGATAACTGCACGTCTTTCTGAAGATCGGGTGTGCAGGACTCGGACTTCGAAAACGACCTTTCAAAGCTTCGATGTTCATCACAATAAATACACTGATCCTGCTGAACCTTCCCGAGCTCAGTAACTCAAGGCCTCCATATTTTGTCTCCTACAGGCATCACGTTCAGGTGCGTGCTGGTGCAACGTCACACCCCAAGAAGAGAGAGCACAGTTACCTTTGGTTTAGGCAGTAAGCTTGGGTTTAGGGCTTAGGGTTTCGGGCCCCCATATACCCTAAACCCTAAACCCTAAACCCTAAACCCTAAACCCTAAACCCTAAACCCTAAACCCTAAACCCAAACCCTAAACCCCAAGGGTTTAGGGTGTTCGGTTTAGGGTTTAGGGCCTTGTAGTCGCGTAGGGGAGCTTGAGATTTCAGGGCTGGCTCGGGCATTGCTCTGTGGCCATCGGGCTTGCACCTGAACCCATGAGCCGAAAGCCTAAACCGTTGGTTTAGGGTTTAGGGTTTAGGGTTTAGGGTTTAGGGTTTAGGGTTTAGGGCTTAGGGCCCAAAACCTTTAGAGAGAAATCCCAAACTTCCTAAACCCAGCCTGGACCTTATACAACTTTCCCTTTTAGGACTCCCTACAGTTTCCTTATCTAAAGCCTTAAAGAAGGTAGGCTCTTTCGTGTCCAGGCAAACCCTAAACCCTAAGGGTCCATGTACCCAAACTAGATATACTTTGGCCTTAAAGTAGTCCCTAGTCGGGTACTTGGGGGCCAAAGTATATACTATTTGGGGGTTTCCGAAAATAGGGGATCCTAATATAGTACCCTAAATATTAGGATCCCCATTATAAGGACCCTAAAATAAGGTACCCCTTATTTTGGGAAAGTCTCATTTGGGTACATGGCCCTAAACCCCTAAACCCTAAACCCTAGACCCACCCTTAAGGAAATCCTACACCTGAACATCTGCAGCCGCTCCGGCTCTTGCATCGTGGTCCACGCCCACAGCAGGGAGAACAACCTGCACATGTTTCTGAATTAGGTTTAGGGTTTAGGGTTTAGCGTTTAGGGGTTTAGGGGTTTAGGGGTTTAGGGGTTTAGGGGTTTTGGGGTTTTGGAGCTCTGCAGACTCGAAAACCCTAAAACCCTAAACCCTACACCCTCAGCGTATTGATACCTTAGGTGTTCGGATCTTGGTTAGGTTCTAAGGCTTCCTGTAGGCGCTTTGGTCTTAAGGAAATGGGCTCGGAGTCGACTTAGGGTTTAGGCTTAGGGTTTAGGGTTTAGGTTTTAGGCTTAGGGTTTAGGGCTTGGGCAGTGGATGAGGAATCGAATCGACAGGTCAAGGATAAGATGCTGGGATTTCGGAAGAGAAGTCCACAACGATTGCCATCCACCCGCGATCAACCCTGTGCCCTCAACAAGGCGCAGAAACCGAGACACCAAAGCATATACCAACCATATAAGCCCCACACACACACTCGAAGCCCTATACTCTCTGAAGGCCCAAAAACCTTAAACCCCCAACCTTTAAATCCTAAACCTCTCAAGCCCTAAACTTTAAACCCAAAACCCTTAAATCCTAAACCCCTTAAGCCCCCAAACCCCACAGCTTTAAACCCCTAAACCCCTTATCCCCTAAACCCTCAAGCCAAGACCCTCACAACGCTCTGCCTCGGGGTCGTCGCGGAGCCGCTCCGAGGCGAATTTCAAGGCCGAGGGATCGGAACGCGAGGCCGCCAAGACGACGTCCTTGAGGGCTCTAAGATAGGGTTTAGGGTTTAGGGTTTAGGTTTTAGGGTTTAGGGTTTAGGGTTTAGGGGAGTCTATTGGGCATACTACGAGGGTTCTATAAGTTGTATAGTATAAGGGTTCTATAAGTTGTAGTATGAGGGTTCTATAAGGGTACTGTAAGGGTTCTATGAGGGTACTATAAGGGTTGAATATGGGTTCTACAAGGGCTCTTGGGTTCCATCATAGGGGTTCTATAGGGGTGTAAGACTCGATAAGGCTGTTATCGTTCATAGGCTCCTAGATAAATACAGAGATTTTTAGGAAGGTAGGTAGGTAGATAGATAGATAGATACATTGATAGCTGAGGTTATAGATAGATCGTTTTATCGATAGATCGATATATGGCTAGATAGACTAGATAGATAGTCAGACAGATAGATAGGCGGATCAATAACTAGACACATATCTGATAGACAGATAGATAGACTGATAGCTAGCAGCAGTAACAACTAGATAGTCTCGTTTCTTGGGGGATATGTGGCTTTTGCGCTTTGTGAGCAGGCTGATAGATTTTGGGGCATTCTGGACATTGACGCCTGAGTTCTAGGTCTTTTGGACTACCTTGGAGGGTTCAGGATTCTTGATTTCGGATTGGGGCTTGAGGGTTGTAGGGTTTTTTCTGCGCAACCGAGGTTTCAGAAGTCTCATTTCGGGGCCAGCGCTCTGCTCCCTCCAGTCCACCCACGGAGCGCCCTCCCCAAAGGTTGCGCTGCACCACGGTTTAGGGTTTAGGGTTTAGGGACACTCTGACAGTGTTGCATCTCTGCCGCGACGTCAACCATGGACGCGTTCTCCGTGTCCCGAGTCACCCCCACCCGGCTCTCAGGCAGGTCTGCACACTTCTTTGCCCGGATACCTCGTGGATTTCCTTCTCTGGACTTGGCACTGACATCTGGCTGTTGGCTCTCAAACATTTTGCCGCGCCCTTGATGGGTGCTGCCGCTCTCTTTCTGCTCTTCCTCGGGCTGCTTTGGTGCCGGCTGCGCCGCACCAGATGCTAGCCTAATAAGGCTTCGTCTGTGTGCGCCCCGCTTGCCTCGCCCCGCCCTTCTCCGTTTTGCTGAATTGGCTCCAGCTTCGGCTGTTTTTGGCCTGCATGCCTCGCACCGGACGTCCGCATGCGTTAGAGGCAGAATGAGGGAGAGAGAGAGCTAGGGTTTAGGGTTTAGGGTTTAGGATCATAGGATCTAGGGTTTAGGGTTTAGGGTTTAGGGTTTAGGATCTAGGGTTTAGGGTTTAGGGTTTAGGATCTATAGGTTTAGGGTTTAGGGTTTAGGATCTAGGGTTTAGGAGCTGCAGGTTTGGAACTGGAGGTGTTCAGCCGTGTTCAGGGTTCTGCGGACTTGTGGGACCGAAGCCCTAAAACAAACATTTTGGAGTCCTGAACCACACACACCCTAAAACTCCAAAATGGCTCAAAGTGGAGGCCAGACTTGAATTTATATATATATATATATATATATATGTATATATGTATAACCCTATGGTCACCTATATAAGCTATTCTAAACACCAGTAAAATCCCGACGGACCCTGCTCCAATCCATTATACCAGAAAACCTACACCCGAAAGCCTCATCCGTGAAATTTCATGAAACCACGAGCTCCGCAACCACGAAGCCTGTAATGTCGAACTGCCGACTAACTGATATCCCCGGCTGCGCTGGCGCACCGTGTCATCCCGAAGGCGCTCGGAGGCAAATGCAAGGCATCCACCATCCTCGACAACCCAGAAGTCGAGTGAACAAAACGGGCCTTATGGAACTAGAGTAGGGTCTAATGGAGCTTATAAAGGTTTAGTAAAGCTGTTTTAAGCCATATTATGGTATAATAATTATACGATAAAGGGACTGAGGCTGCTACCAATACTGCCTACTCGGACCTCTATATTCTGGGGTGGGGTTGTAGGCTTTATAGTCGGGCTTAGATGGATTTTCAACGGGCCTTCTTTGTGAAGGTTTGGGTTTCCAAACAACAATACTCGCCCCCGACGCTTTGCACAGACCCCTTGAAGATATATGCTGCCTGCAGTGTGAGGATCACAGAATACAGAGAGCATGCCGGACTTGCATTTCATGCACTGCAGACGCACTGCCAGCCGCAATTCATCAATTTATGGGAGAAAGGAGAAGCAAACCGGGGCGCACACGCTACACACTAAGCCCTACACCCCAACCCGATCGATACACCTCCCTTTCAGAGCCCTACGACACCTCCAGGCTATGTTCCTCAAATCTGCCCTTCAACGACAAGCTGAACTCAAAATCCCGAGACCCAGAGCCTCAGACCTTACCACGCAACCCCTAAACCCCAAAGCAGTACAAACAATACTAATAGCAGTAAGGGTTTAGGGTTTAGGGTTTAGGGTTTAGGGTTTAGGGTTTAGGGTTAATAGTTGCTCTTAAACATAACCCTAATGACACTTGTCGTAATCGAATGAACAAAACCATTGTGACTTTAGTTGCAAAAACCCAGAAACAGTCACAATGATCTGGAAGCTCGTATGGATGGAATCCTTTGACTTAAACACCGTACAACCCCAAACATGTGTAAACCCCCGTTGAGCTCTTTCCCCCCGAAGTCCGCGTGGACAGCCGTCATCACAACCGCCAGGACATCTTTCATTTTTGTCGGCGCCGACTGCAAGTCAGCCGGGTCCTCATCTACCTTTTCGTTGCGAATTGTTCCCTAAACAAAACCCTAGACTCTAGACTCTAAACCCCAAACTTTAAACCCCAAGCCCTAGCCAGAGTTTCGGGCAAAGTTTCGGATTGCAGGGTTCAGGGGCTTAGGATATGAGTAGTTCTCTAAATGAGGGTCCTCTTTCAGGTCCCCAACCATAGTACGGCACCCTTATGATAATAAGGCCCCAAAAGCCACCCTCATGTAGAGAACTATACGCATAGTGGGCTTGTGGTAGAAGATGGGCTTTCGTTGATCAAACTATGTGGGTGGTTGTCAAAATTATGGCCCCTTTTGGGGTACCCTAAATAATGCGTGCCGTATTATAATAAGGACCCAAAAAGGGACCATAATTTTGACAACCACCCATGTGCCTTCACCTCATATTTTAGGCTAGCCAGCCCAGGGCTTGGGTGCTGGTGTACGGTTTAGGGTTTAGGATTCAGGGTTTGGGGTTCAGGGTTTAAGGCTTAGGGTTCAGGGTTTAGGGTTTCGGGGTTTGGGTTTTGGGCCCTAAACCCTAAACCCTAAACCCTAAATCCTAAACCCTAAACCCTAAA